GCTCCGGACGCGCAGGCTCGGCGGCCATGGCTCACGGGCCCAGCCGCTCCGCGGCATGTGGGATCTTCCTGGACCACGAACCCGCGTCCCCTGCCATCGGCAGGCGGACTCTCAACCACTGCGCCACCAGGGAAGCCCTATATGAACTTTATAATTAGCTTGTTTAGATCCAGAGGGGGAAAAACATTCTGATACTTTCATAAGGATTACGTTAAATTTACAAAGCTACTTAGAGAACTGTCTTCTTTATGAGATCATTTTCCTCTGGAACATGGGATTTCTTCTGTCCTTCCAAGTCCAGGGTGTCTCTGAGGTACCTTCAGAGTTTGCCTCACGTAGGGTTTTGCATTTCTCACTCCGTTTATACCCCGGAATGTCATCTTCTGTTGTTGTTGGAAACGGGGTGTCTCCTCCACTGCAGCCTCTAACCCAATGTCCACGCAGATGCCTGGTCTCTCTGAGTGACCTTAAATCTGCGGCCTCCCTGACTCAGCGTCTGTAACATCACTTTCCCAGGCTGGAGACGTACCAAGGGATCGTTCCTAGTGACGGAAGCAGGGTGGCAAAGGGACCGTCCTCTCCTCCCGCCCCCTTCCTTCCCTCTCGTCATCTGCCAGACTTCCCACTGCGAGCGCCCCTGGGTCCCATGCAGACAGAGCAGGCAGAGCTTGGAGAGGTGATGGGCTTGCAGGGGCGGCCGCCCCCTGGGAGGAAGCTGAGGAGAGGGGTCCTGTGGGGGGCCCTGGGGCCAGGAGGTGGGCGATGGGGGAAGGGGGCAGCCCCCCTTGTGCACGGCAACCTCACCTTTGGGCTCTTCCCCAGGAGGCTGGATGGGGAAGGGAAGACCCTAGCGGCCGTCTGGTCCACCCTGAGTCGTACAGAAAGGGAACCGGGGCTGAGAGAGGCCGCGTCCAGCACCATGTGCCTGCTGCCAGGCCAGAGGCGGGGGGCGGGGGGGAGGGGGACTGAGGAACGTGGGGCGCAGCTGCTGGTGCACGCACGGTGGCAGCACGTGCAGGCATGTATGCGCGCAGGCCCAGTGTGGCACAGGGCAGCACAAGTTGGCCTTGGTGAGGGAAGACGTGCGCCTGTGCTCCATCACGTCGGGCCGGCCTGCCATCTGTTGGGTCCCTGGCAGTCGCAGGACAGGTACCAGGAGCAGACGGGGTCACCCTCCACGGCTGCGGAACTTTATTGGGATTGGACAAACACACCATCCTTCTCGGTCGTGGGCTCCCGCGTCCACAGGACCCTGCCACACAGAGACCCACCCGGGTGCGCGGGGGACACGCCCTCCCTCTAGAAACAGGTTCAGCAACCACCACACGAGCCTTAGGCCCCACGGGCGGAGTCAGTAACACTCCACAGCTCCTCCGGCCTCGAGAGTCACCTTCAGGCCCAGAGTCCAGGCCCCCTGCCCAGGAGGACCGAGGCCAGCTCATGTCCTGACGTGGGAACCGCACACAGATGGGGCCCGACTCCCTTCCTTCAGGGCCTGGGACGTGACCCTGACTTTCTGGCTCTAGAAACAAGGGGACCAGCGGGGGTTCCACGGGAGGGGGAATGATGGGGAAGGGCCCCTGTCGGCCCTGAAGCCCAGCTCCAGGGCCAGGAAGCCCCCCTCTTCCCTGTCCAGAGGGCCTGGGTCTGTGGAGGAGGGGCTCAGGGCAGGGCTTCCAGCTTCGACGCGGGGCTCCGAGGGTCTTCCTGGCTTGGGTGGGGCGGAGGGTGATGCTTTCGGGGGCTGAGGGCCTCCCATGTAAGGGGGCCGGGCTGCGGCCCCTGCCCAAGCCAGCAGCTCATCTCTCCGGCAGCAGCATGAAGAACGCAGCCTTCAGGAAGCGGCCACAGCTGCAGAGCGCAGCCACGAGCCAGTGGGAGCGGAGGCCGGGGTCGGTGCTGACCACGCACTTGAGCACATCCGTCTGGGAGGGACGAGGAGGCAGTTAGAGAGTGGAGCGGAGAGGGTGTGGCCTGTGCCCCCCCCCAACCCCGGGTCAGCCAGGTCGCCTGAGGGAATGCTCGAGGCCGTTTGGGAAGGCTTGTGGTCCAGCTGGATGGAAGCCTCCAGCATGGGACCCGACCCAACAGGTGGATTCCGATGGTGAGAGGGAAGGGAGGGGAGCCTGCTGGGCCCCCAGCCATGGGACCAGCTACCAGCTCGGCCACCTGCTGACATCCCAGTGTCCTTCTGCAGATGCCGTGGAGCCTGGGGTGCCAGGGAAGGACAAATCCCTTAGCACAGGAGCAGGAACTGAGCTTTCCAGAAGCCCAGTGAATGGCCACTCCTTACTTCCTTATTTCTTTCTAGTCCTGCTAAGAAATGAAGTACTATCCCTACAGCTAAACCTTTGGCCATGGTGTCAATCAGCATCCTGGCTGCCCTGGTGCCCAGCCTCAGCCGGGCTCCAGGACAGGATGGCAGGATGGGACAGCGGGAGGCCCACAGCCACGTGACTCATCCAGGAGGTGACACCCCCCCGCCCAGTGCCGCCTTCAGATGAGATCACAGCCCCAGTGGCCCCTCACCGCACCCCCTGTGGCTCCAGTCCCAGCAGAGGCTGAGCTCCGTCCCCTCGGCCAGTGTGCTTTGCACACCTTTGCCCACCATCCATTTTACAGAGGAGAAAACAGCTCTCCTACGGGTACAGCTGCCCCGCAGTCCCCGAGGCCTGGCCAGGTGATCGGGGACATGGAGACTCTGACACCATCCCTGGGGCGGGCGGCGGGTTTTAGCTCTGGAGTCGGGGGTGGTCAGACCCAGAGGGCCCACACTGGAGCTGGGCCGCAGGAGCCGTCCTGGGCTGGGCAGCCCCGGCCTCGCCCCTCCTCCAGCCCCGATCACCCCTGCCACTGCCAGCACTCAGGCGTTCAACTACCACCCCCTTCCTGGCACCGCCATATTCCCTCACCCATCCACCGCGTCTCCGCAGCCAGGTCGCCAGGGTCTTGCGCACGAACTCCCCGAGGCAGTCAACGAGGGCGTGGACCAGGGCGGGCTGGGCCTGTCGCACGCAGTCCACGGCCAGCCCCGCAGCCACTGAGTACAGGGACACAACCTTGCCCCAGGTGATTCCTGCAGGGAGAGAGATGGGTGCTGGTCACCAAAGGCCACCAAGACCCAGCTCGAGGCCAGCCCGCAGGGTCACGTGAGGGGGCTGAGCCACACCCCTGCCATTCCGCTGGTGACTGGGGTCGACACCCGGGGCAGCCTCAACCCACAGCTCCCACCAGACGGGGAGCTCGGTCAGCTGGCGGCTGTGCGAGTCCCAGCCACCGTCTGCTGCAGGTCAGTCCTGCCACCGTCACACGTCGTTCTCAGGCGGGGATGTCTCGAGCCTGCGTTACACACCTGCACACCTGGGCCAGGGCCTGGCGATGACCCTGCACAGCCCAGTATCTGCTGGAGGAGGTGATGGAGCAGAAAGGCAAAGAGGAGGCTGAGCAGGTCAAGGGGGCTCAGTGACTCGGCACTGGATGTGATAAACAGGAAGCAGCTTCCATCTGCGCCTGCCCCCAGCACAGCCCTGCGAGGACAGAGGATGTTCTCCATGTAAAGAAGCTGAGGCCCCGGGAGGAATGGCCTTGCCCAGACCACCAAGCTACTGGGGGCAGAACTGAGATGGAGCCCACCTGGGAGGAAAGACAGATGAATGACAGTCTGGGGAACAGTGCTTGCCAGTTGTATAAGGTTCCTTAATATAGAAAGAGATTTTATAAATCAATGAGAAAAAGAGAGAAACCTTTCAAAAGAAATACGAACACAGAATACAAACGGCTGATTCACAAAAGAAGAAGCATTAACAGTACACTAGACACATGAAAGATGCTCACCCTCACCGATAAACAAAGAAGTGTACATTAGAACGCGATGTAAATTATAGTCTATCAGACAAAATTCCAAGTGGCAATGTGAAGATCCATGTAACTGTGCAGCCTGGTAACTGTGATGCAAAAGACAGCTGGAGGGCACCCGGCACCACCTGTGAAAGGACACAAACGTGGGTGCCCCGCCTGAGCCCTAGAAGGAAGCAGCACAGGCAGGGAGGAAGCATGCCCCTCAACCCATGTTCACACCACAGCTGGGACAGTCTGTCATAAGAGCACAAGTCAGTGCGAATGAATCCCTGTTCACAGTCGCCAAAAGGTGGAAATGACAAAACGTAAATAAGCAGTGAGTGGAAAAGCACAATGTGGTCCAGCCACACAGCGGAATGATATTTGGCCTCAAAGTGGAAGGAAGCGCTGACAGGGCCACAACCTGATGAACCTTGAAAACATCGCGCTCAGTGAAAGAAGCGGACTTGAAAGGCCACACGTATCGTATGAGTCCATTCCTATGAAATGTGCAGGACTGTCAGATCCGTGGAGACAGAAGGCAGACCAGTGGTCCCTGGGGGCTGCAGGAGGGGGCCAGGCAGTGACAGCCTAATGGGAATGGGTGTTCTTCCCACTGGCAAAGAACTTGGAGAGGTGGTGGTTGCACGATACTGTGCATGCATTCAACGCCACTGAATCATACACTTTAAAATGGTTAACTGGGACTTCCCTGGCGGTCTAGTGGTTAGGACTCTGTGCTTCCACTGCAGGGGGAATGGGTTCAATCCTTGGTCGGGGAACTAAGATCCCACATGCCGCGTGGTGTAGTCAATAAATAATAAATAAATAAAATGGTTAATTGTACGTCATGTGAATTTCACCTCAACGAAAATTTTAAAACCCCGTAAATCAGGCCAGGCCACTCCCCAACCCTCCTGTTACTGTCCCTTCCCATCTCCTTCAAAGTAAATCCAAGTCTGAAGTCCCACCTGAGCTGGCTGCTGGCCCCTCTGAGGCCCCCTTGTCCTGCGACATGGCCTCATGCGTGCTATCCCAGCCTCACCACTGCCTGCAGGGCTCCCTCACCCCCAGGGCTCTGCCCAAGGTCCTCCCTCTAAGGGCCACGCAGACCGTGATGGCATCAGGTCCTGGTGACGCTGCCGTCACACCACGCTCCCCATTGACCAACTGCTCGTGGGTGCCAGCCCTGGCGGGCTCTGTGCTGCTCACAGCTGTGCCCTTGGCACCCCCAGGCTTGGCGTCCTGCAGGTACCCACCACCACCAGGGGACAGGTGAAGGGTCAGCATGGCAGGGCGGGGATCAAGAGAATGAACACGCGTTCTGCGGTGCTGTGTGGAGAGGTGAGCTCCACGTGATGGCCACGTTATACCTGGAGAGGAAAGCCCTGGTCCGGAAGGTGCCGGCAGGGTGGTCTCTGGGAGGTGGGGCTCAGGTATGTCCTATTTTCTTTGAGGTCTTTGTGTTCTTTTTTACGGAGATATAATCTCACTAGCGTAAATTCATCCTTTTAAAGTGTGAGATCCAGTGTTTTTAGCATATTGACAATGTTGTACAACCACCACCACTATCGAATTCCAGACATTTTCACTCCAAATCACTGTCCCCAGGAGCATCACGCCCCTGTCACCCCAGCTCTGGTAACCTCTAATCTACTCTGTCTCTGTGGATTACCTGTTCTGGACGTTTCACGAATGCAGTCACACAGTAGGTCCCACTTTGTGTCTGACTCCGTTCACTGAGCAAAATGTTTTCAAGGTTCCTCCGTGCTGTCCTGGTGTGAGCACCTCATTCCTTGTTACGGCCGAATAACGTTCCATCGAGTGGATGGGCCACCCGTCAGGAAACGAGCACGTGGGCTGTTGGCCCCTCCGGCCGTGGGGATACGCGGCTCTGAACACTCGTGTGCAAGCCCTTGTGTGGACATGTGGCTTCCTTTCTCAGGGGTCAAAACCGAGGAGCGGAACTGCCGGGTCAGGGGGTGACCCCATCAGAGTTACCATTGGAGAAGCTGCCAGACCACTTCACGCCCTGACTCTTCACAGCCTCACCCGTGCTGAGTTCTCTGAAGTTTTGCCTTGAGTGCCCCAGTGGGCGCGAGGTGGCATCTTGCTGTGGTTTGATGAGTGTTTGCCTGGTGACTGATGATACTGAGCAACTTCTCATGCACGTACTGGCTGTTCATACATCTTCCTTGAAGAGATGTCCATTCAGACCCTTTGCTCTTTTTAAAGTGAGGTGGTCTTTTTAGTACTGATTTCTGAGAGTTCTTTATCTCATGTGTTTTCTGATCTTTCCGTGGTGAAATATTTTGCTCTTGTAATGAGAAGAAAAAAATGAAAACACTTGCCAACTTTCAGTTTTTCCACTGAAGGGAACCGAGAAGCGCCTGCAGCCAAGATGCAGCCTGGAACAGCGCCCCCTGCCTCTGCCTTCGCGGGGGCTCAGCCACGTGGGGAGGCCACCTGGAACCCTGCCCTGCAGTCCTCGAGCCGTGCACGTCACCGGCTACAGCCAGAGCAGGTGAGGGGCCGGCCGGGACGACGAGGGGGAGGAATATCCAGCCCGGGGGGTCAGCGCGTGCAAGACCCAGCTGCTTGGGAGAGGCTGCGGGCAGAGACGGGCAGGGCCGGCAAGCATCTGATGGCTGGAGCTTGCCTGGTGGCAAGAGGGCCTGAGGACCGGGAAGGCTGGGATGAACAAGGGGTGAAGAGAGACCTCGGGTGGGCGGGAAGCGGGAGGGTGCGTGCGGCAGCCACGGGCTGGTCGGGGGGTGGGCTGAGAGCCCATCGGCAGCACAAGGGGCGGCCCGCAGCCCTATACTCCACGGAGCCTGTCCCTGCTCCCCTTTCAGGTGGCTCTGAGGTCAACAGAGGTTAAGAACCACTTGCAGGTCACAGAGCCCATGAGGGGCTGGGCGCCCCAAAGCACCAGAGGGGCAGGTGGCGGTGTGGAGGCCACCACGAGAAAAGGGTAGGGCCAGCTGGGTGGGGCGGGGATGCTTGATCGCAGAGAAGTACATCCTGCTCTGGTTTCAAGCGAAAAATCACGGGCTTTAAACTGAACTCCCCAAGTGAAAGAAGCCACTGGTACCCTGTGCCCATTCATCAAGGCCACACCTTCCTCCCCGCCCCTCCCCCTCCCCGCCCTGCCCCAGCCCCCGCCTCGTCCTTCCAGAACCCAGAGCCCTTCTGGGCACGTCTCCGGCCCGTCCGGCACTGAGCAAGCGGGGCAGGCAGGGGTGGGCGCTTCGTCCCGGCTGCCCGCCCTCTGTCCCTGCCCACACACCAGCCACCTCCCCGGGGCCCAGCCGCCCCCCGCCCCCTCAGTCCCGAACACCAGCGGCTGCAGCCGCATTCTCAGAGATGACCCTTCCTTTTAAAGCCAGCCCTCACTCTAAGCCAGCCGCCCGCCCACCCGACAGCGGAGACAGACACCGGCGGCCACCCACGCGCCAGCGTCAGGCCTTACGGGAGCCCAGGGAGGGCCCAGGGCGGCTGTCAGCTCCCTTCCCCGGCCTGCCCAGGTCACCGCGAGGGCACCCGGGTCAGGACTGCCAGACCTCCTGGGCATCCCACGCCTCTCACCAGCCTCCTCCCTCCCAGGCACTCCCCCGTGAAGTTCTGGCCACCCAGTGACGCCCTGGAGGCTGGGTCCTGCAGCCGGGGGTCCCGCGTCCCTGCCACGCCAGTCTGCCCACCAGGGGTCGGAGGGGCCTCCCCGAGAGGGGACAGTGCAGGGCAACACCCAGAGGGTGCGGTCAGCGGGCTGGGGGCCCTCTGATGGGATGCGGCAGCCCCAGCCCCTCCACCGGCCTCCTTTCTTCTGCCGGTGGGCGGAGGTCCCCCATGGGGTGGGACTGTGGCTCCCGGCGCCCTCTGCCCCAAAGCCCTGCTGCCGTCCCAACCATCCGACGGCTAAGGAACGGCAAGGGGTGTTCCAAGGTCACGCCGCTGGTCGACGACAGACCCAAAGCCGCCTCGCAGAAGGGGCCCGTCCTCCCCAAAGCCCTTCCCACCCTCGATGCCACGTGGCCACTCACACCCCCACTCCACCAGGATGCGCCCCGGGAACACTCTGGCTCTGGGGCCCCCAAGCCCCCCTCCTTGAGGGCTGGGACTGGCCATCCCGTCCATCACAGCGTCCCCAGGCCCAGGGCAGCGCCAGACAGTGCTGGGGAAACCTCGGTGGGATCGGCTGATGGGGCAGGTGCTGCACTGGGCTGGGGGCTTCGGTCACCTGATGGCCAGCAGCGCCTGGCGCCTGCTACGTACCAGGACACAGGACCGAGGTGGACACGCAGGGCAGGGGCGCCAGAACAGGGCACGAGGTCACGGGTGGGGAGACGAGGTCTGTGGACCTCAGGGAGCCCAGCAGGTCCCAGGAGGCGGCGTGGGAACGAGAGGGGGTTTTGGGGGATGAGTCCTAGAGTTTCCTGGGAGCCTGGAGGCAGGTGTGCAGACCGGAAGCAGCACGAGCTGAACTCAGGGCGAGGGCACACGGAGGAGGGGCAGACGTCACCTGCTCCTAGGGCCCAGGTGGAGGCTCCGGGAGACCCACAGGTGACTGCGGGCCAGCCGGGTGAGACAGGTGTGTCAGCATTCTCCAAACGTGTGCCGGTGAGCCGCTCCACCAGGGACTCCCACCCTAGCGCACCCCTTCCACTGTGGGGGCTGTTCTGCGACCTGCCTCTGACCAACAGACTCAGGCTCAGTGACACGGCGACTTCTTACGTCAAAAGAGCCTGGCGGCGCCCACTTGGGCTGCTTGGGACCTGCGGCCACGCCGTGAGAGCCCAAGCCCCACAGGACACGTACTGCCACACGCAGAACAACCCCACCCCACTCCAGCCAACAGTCAGCACCAACTGGCAGCCTGGGACATGCAGCCCAGACAGGGCTTCCGGTCACTGCAGCCCCAGGACCGCACAAGAGGCCCACTGTCCTTGGACCCAGGGAGGCTCCCCTGAGAGCCCACCCAGCGCTGCAGCCCGGCCCTGACCCACAGACCCTGGGCCATGCCAGCAGTGTGGGCCCCCTGGACACACAGGCCTACCTGCAGAAACGATCTGGGCCGCCACAGCCAGGAAGGCGTCGGTCACCACGGTCTCGGACTGCAGGGGGATGTTCAGCTGGCGGGCCACGTTGCGGTAGACGCTGGGCCGGATCAGCTCCAGCTCGTCCGCTGCGGTCACACAGGCGGGTCAGAGGTGGTCACACCCACGGGGTGTGGGGCCCACGCGGGCCTGGGGCCAGCCCACTCCTCAGCCTGTGGCCATAGCTGGGGACCCTGATCCCAGCCCTATTCCTGACCCCTCGACCTGTCACATGCCCACCCACGAGACACCACCCCCAGAACCCCCGGGGACAAGACCAGGGAGGTGCGGTGGGCACCCCCAGACCTGCCTCTGGGGCCTGTCCCCTCTGCCGAGCCAGCCACGCCCACCCTCCCCCCAGGGCAGAGCCGGCTGGGCCAGTGGGGCGGGCACCCCAGCAGTGCCTGACCAGTGACTCACAGCCCACAGCCAGCTGCATGGGAGGGCGGTAGTCCGACAGGCAAGCAGCCAGCCCGACATGGGTGTGGACTGTGCCAGCGACCCCACACCGGTGGGGAGCCCAGCTGCTGCCTCACAGGGGTGTCCTCGCTCAGGCGCCAGCACCATTCAGTGAACCAAGAAAAGGAGCCACTACCCGGGGCCGCCAGCACCACACAGGGTCAGACCTCGGCTCCTGGGGCCAAGCAGGGGTATCTGGATGGGGCGGCCGCACGTGGCAGCGGGAGGCCCTGTCAAGGGCGCTGCCTGCACGTGTGCCCGCTGCAGCGCCCCTGGCAGTCACGTGCCGGGAATCCCACACAGCCCTCGGACTGGGCATCCCCCAACCCAGCCGCCTCTCCGCCAAAGCAAACAGGAAAACGCTTCCGACTGGAAGTCCAGGCGATAAGGGCTCCGAGTCACCCATGGGGCCAGATGCACTCCATCTAATTAATTAAGATCTGGAACCAGAGGAGGACTGCGGGGAGGCTGGCAGAACGATGCGGGAGGGAGCATGGAAACTCCCAGGGCTGGCCTGGCTGTTCCCACATACAGACCCCGGGGTCTACTGGGGACTGACCCCAACTCGACCCGGGCCTCTTCCTGTTTGCTGCTGCTCCAGGAGCGGGGCGTCTGTGCTCGGGAGGAACTGGGGGTATGCTGGGGACAGGGAGACAGCTCCAGGCCATGACTGGTGGGGAAGGGGCGGTCACGCTGAGCAGCTGCAAGGGCGGATGCTTTGGTGGTTCAAGCCATCTCCCTCCAGGGTCCCCTTAGCCATCTCGCAGGAACTGAACCCCAGGGACTGGCCGTGATGAGGCCGGATGCTGGAGGAGGGCCTGAAGGCCTGGCCCCTGAGAGGGCCAGCGCAGGGCACTTGGCCGGACTCTGCTCCTCCAGCCCTGGCCGGAAGCATCCCAGGCTCTCCGGGTCTGAGGTCACAGTGTTGAAGGGACAGATACCGGCCCGGTCTGATTAGCAGAGCCCAAAGCAGGGCTTTTCAGAAAGTTCAAACAGTAGGGACCCTGGGCCCAAGGAAGAGGCAGCCCCGAGCCGCTGCTCGCAGGCAAGGAGATGGAGCTGGGGGCAGGCAGGGCAGAGGCAGGATCTCCTCCTGGCCACTCCAGGGGCTCTTGGGAGGTCAAGACACCATATTCACCAGGACCCTCTGGAGTGCTCCCCCAGTGTTGTCCCCACAGCCCAACTGGAAGAGGTGGCTCGGGCGCTGACCTCAGGGGAGTCCAGGCACTCTGGGCCTCTGGCTGATCCCCCAAACCCCACTTGCTCCCCTCCCCTGAGACCCAGGCGGGACACCGCCCCCCTGGCAGCCCTCTGCAATGGCCCCTCGGCACCTGTGTGTCTCCCCTGGACCCCAACACTCCTGTGCAGGCCAGGTCTACACAACCCTGCCCCCAGGGTCCACACAAAACAGGGCAAGCAGACGCGCAAGCCAGCCTGAGGAGGGGAGGGCATCCGCTTTCACAGGGCGTTCCCTCCAACCAGGGCTCCCCTGGAGAGCCACCTGGTCAGGGCTCCATCTGCGCTGCCACACCTCCCCGTGTGCACACGCTTGGGGTGGAACTGTCACACTGGATGGGGCAGGGCTGAGCAGCCTCAGTCCCCGTGGAGAGGTGGACTGACTGAGTCAGCTGGGCCGGTCCCTCCCCCTCTGGGGTCCTTGGAGAAGGTGGAGACAGTTACCGGGCTGTGTGTGACCCCACGTCAAGTACCTCCACTCAGCTGGCGTCCAGGTGAGATCCTGGGCTGCCCAGCCTCACGGTGGCTCAGCCCTCCTGGGGCACTAAATTTCGCCGGGAGCCCTAAGAGGCCTCCTAATCGAGAGAAGAGCGACCCATGGCAGGATTTGAGCCAGTAACTGCAAGGACCTATTTTCCAAAACAAACAGCAGGACACGTGGTCCGACAAAGGATTTTTGTGCCCAGCTGAGCACAAGGGTCACTCAGGAAGTTTAGCCACCAAAACATCATTCTTCCCGGAGCTGTCTATCCTTTATGGCCAGAGTGTCTGAAATCCGGGCTGAGCAGGCAAATGCGGGGAGGTCTTTGGCGGGTGCACAGGCGAGCCTGAGGGGGGACTGGAAGAGTGGGGTGCTGGAGGGATCATCGGTCTGGGTGCGCCCGCCTTGTGCGCCGGGTTACTCAGGGCACACCGGACCAGCCCCCTCTCTGCCTCAGAGGGGAGACCGAGGCCCAGCAGGGGCGGGTGCCGGCGCGGTCACCGGCGGGCGGGCCAGTGCAGGGACAGCTGTACCCCGAGGCGCAGCGGGGCCGCCCCGCTGGCCGGCTTTGGAGGGTAAGCCTGGGATCCCGCCCGCCGAGGCCCGCACTCACCCAGGCGCAGCAGCACCGTGCACACTTCGGCCAGGCGGCCGCCGGGGGCGGGCGCGGCGCGCTCCGGCGCGCTCCAGGCGAGGCCGGCGCGCAGCAGCCGCGCGTGCACGAACTCCCGGCCGAGCGCCTTGGCCTGGGCCACCAGCTCCTTGTCGGTGGGCGAGCGGTCAAAGGCGTCCATGATCTCGGCGGCGAAGACCGAGGAGCGCCGCAGCACCTCCATGGCGGGGACGCGGGCGGGGGGCGCCGCACCTGCGGGCAGAGGGTGCTCAGACGGGCCCGCCCCGCCGCCCCGGCCTGGCTGGCGGAGGGGAAGGTCGGCCGCGCGACAACGGCGGGCAGCGGGGAGCGTGGAAGGGGCGCGGCGTGCGCCTAGATCTCGTGCGTGCGCCGGGCCGGAGCGCACAGGGAGGCCGGGCCGGCGCGGCTCTGGGGAAGGGCTTCGGCCAGCTGCGGGTAAGCGTTCCTGTTTGTGCCCCAAATCTTTAAAAGCGCGGTGTCACCTTCTTTTAGATGCCGAACTCAATCACAAAGATCCCCACGGGTGCCGGGGATAGGAAGGACCTCGGGGAAATGGCGATTGGCTCTGGGGCCGCCGTGCCCGCGCTCGAAGACGAGTGCGCGGGCGGCGGAGGCGTGGGCGGGGGGCATGGCCCGACCTGCTCCCAACCGGCGGCAGCCGGGACCCCGGCCCGGCCCAGCGTCCGGGGCCACCACCCACCTCCGCGCCTCGCCGTCCTCGGTGTTTGTCCCCGGCCTCGCCGTTCCCATGGCGCGGCCCGCCCTGCTCACCTCTCCCGCCGCATGTCTCGGGCGCGGGGGCTGGGGAGGAGTGCTGGCCTCAGTATCTGCTGGCCGCCGTCTCCGCAGATCTGGATCCTTCCATTCAAACTGGCGAGGACGCGCGCCCCGCCCCGGCGCCCGCCCTGTCCACGCCTGAGCCGGGCTGGAGCGCTGAGGGCGCGGGGTCTCGGGCCCTACGGGGCCTCCGGCGGCGGCGTCGGGGGCGAGGCGAGTGCGGACAGCACAGCGCAACTTTCCGCCGGGCGATAGGCGAGGCTTGGGGCTTTGCCTTCTAAGGGAAAGGCAACCCCGGGGCGGAGCCACGGCCAGAGCTTCCCCGCCGCCTCACCGCTTAAGGAGGACCGAGCGAGTTCCCGGTATGCGCTCAAGGAGGGCCACGGGGCAGGAGCTGTCCCCCACTGTCCCAGTGATTAGGACCTGGCTCTGGCACCAGCCGCCTGGATTCACAGCCGGCTTCATTATCGTATTGATTCCTAGAGGTTCTTTATATATTCTGGATGCTCTGTCCCTGGTCTTACACATGGCTTGGTATTGGAGGTGGGTACTTGGATTTGCATTGTATGGAAGGTATTGCAAATACCTTCTGCCATTCTGTGGTTTGCTGTTGCTTATATTGAACAGGAATTTTCTCAGTGACGTCCAATTTATCAATCTTTTCTCATGTTTAGTGCTTTTTTATTAGGATATTCTCCCGTGTTTTCTTTTAGAAGCTTAATTGTTTTAGCATTCACATTTAGATCTATGGTGGATCACAAATTAATTCCTGTGAATATTGTGGTAGGGAGTCAGAGCTCATTTTTTCTATATGGATATCCAGTAGACCATCATCGGTTATTGAAAGGGCCCTCATCTTTCCACTGAATTGGAGAAGAGTCCCCATTATACACCAAGTGACTGTGTATGTGAGGATCTGTTCTGGACTCTTTTCTATCCCACTGGTCTATTTCTCTACCCTTTTTTTTTTTTTTTTTTTGGCATGTGGGATCTTAGTTCCGTGACCAGGGATCGAGCCCACGGCCCCTGCCTAGGAGGCACAGAGTCTTAACCACTGGACCACTAGGGAAGTCCCTATTTCACTATCCTTGAGTCAACGTCTCAACAGGATGAACCCACTTGCCTTAATTCACATACATACAACACTTCACCCAATAGCTGTTGAATACATGTTCTTTCCGTGTGCACATAGGATGTTAAACAAAATAGACCATATCCTGGGCCATGAAGTCTCAACAAATTTCAAAGGATTGAAATCATACAAGTGTGTCCTCTATGAATTAAACTAAAACTCAAAAACAGGAAAACTATGAGAAAGCCTCCAAGTACTTGGAAATTAAATATCACACTTCTAAATAATCAGTGGGTCAAATAGTAATCACGAGGGAAGTCGTAAAATATTTTGAAGTGAACTACAGTGAAAACATGACATATCAAATGCTGTGGGATATAGGTAAAGCAGTGCTTCAAGGAAAATTTATAGCTTTAGAAGAAAGGTTAAAATTAATGCTCTAAGCTCCAATTCAAGAAGCTAGAAAAAGAACAACAAGTTAAATCTAAAGATGAGAGGAAATAAAAATAAAAGCAGAAATTAATGAAACAAAGCAAAAATCAGGGAAACTCAACCAAGCCAAAAGAGATTAATAGAATGGATAATCCCCTGGAAATAATGGGTAAAAAAAGAAAACACAAATTCCAATGTCAGGAATGAAAAGAGGACATCACCACAGATACTACAAACATTAAAAAGCTATTAAGAGTATATTATGAACAACTTTATGACAGTAATTTGAAATTTAAATGAAACAATTTACCCAAACTGACGCTAGAAGCAATAGAAAATCTGGATAATCCTATAACAATTAAATAAATTTAATTCATAATTTAAAATCTTCCCACAAAGAAAATTCTAGGTTCAGATGTTTTCCTTGAGGAATTCCTCTAAACAGTTGAAGAAATATCACTGACCTCACACAAACCTGCACAAAGAATAGAAAATGAGGGAACATTTCCCGTCTCATTTTGGGAGGCCAACACACCATTGATGCTGACACCTATCAGGAACCTGTTGGGCCTCTGCCTTGGCTTCCCCGTCTGTAGAATAGAGAAAATAGTAATACCTACATTTTGTGGACCAAATTAGTCAATCCATGTATAAAAGTGCTTGTCATATAGTAATTGCTCAGGAATTGGAGCTGTTTTTTCAGAAAAGCTTTCAAGTGTGAGTGCTCATTTTATTGCACTCTTTAACGCACAGTCTGGAGCAGGACAGGGTCTGCCTCTGGCATCTCTGAAGAGCACTAAGGTTTGGGATTCCCTGTATTTTATAGGTGGAAATATGGAAGCTCAGGATGGGAAAGGGATTGCTGAAGGAGTCAGTGCAGGACTGGGCACAGGCAGATTGGGACAACTCCCCAGCCCTGCCCCAGGCCCACGGAATGTATCTCCGGCAGGGGAAGAACCTATGCCCACTCCCCCGCCCCGCAGTGGCCTCAGGCAGCTTCCCACCCTGCCCACAGCCTCAGTTTCCTCCTATACAAAAATAGGATCACGTTTTCTACTTCCTGTCTCCTGGGCAGCACGGATTGGTGCGGAAAGACTCGTGCGCCCTGACACAGGAGCGATAGATGCATCTGTTTAGCGAGCTTCCTTCAGTACAGGAGCTGCCGTGCCTGGATCCAGCCATGCCTGAACCAGTGGACCTCTCCCTGGACATTTTAGACCAGCTCAAAGCCGTGCCTCAGGACACTCACTGCAGGATACTGAGGACCCTGAGGGACTGGAAGCGGCCCAAGTGTTTATCAAAAGGGGAGATTAAGCCCATCTGGAGTATCCAGACCACGGACCCTGAGCCAGACCTTAGAGAGCCCGGGTCAGGCTAGAATCAGTTGAGACCTTCCTGTCCCTTGAGGACTGGAGGAGGCTGACCTGATCAGCCCAGTCCCAGCCCCCAAGCCCCCAAGTGTGCGTAGACTTTCCTACAGTTGCCATTGGCACTGAGTTTCCGCCTCTGCAGATTTCCTGCTCTCCGCTCTTGCCTTTTGTCCGATCCCTCTGTCTGCCCTGCAATTGACCCAGTGGGTCCCTGGTTGCCGAGAAGCCTTCTGAGTGCCGACACCGGCCCAAACTGGCTTGAGCACAGGGAGCCTTGTTGATTTATGGGACTAAATTGTCCTGGGAGACACCTACTGGTTTCAGGCATGGCTGGATCCAGGGGTCTCTCTTGCTATCTGTGAGTCTGTCTGCTCCTTCGTGACAGCTCTGCTCTCAGGCAGGCTGTCCCTGAGTGATGGCAGAAGACGCCACAGCTCCCTGTCTACACCGCACAAGTTCAGTCTTTCCCAGTGGGAGAAAAAGCCAGTCTTCCCAGGGAGTTCCTGGGGATGACCTGGGGCCAGCAGCTTCTGTCCCGTGCCTATCTCTGAACCAGCTGTGGCTGGAGATGGGAAGGTGCCAGCCTTTCGGGCCCAGTCACATTTGTGGCTCTGGACAGGGTGCCGGGGCCTATCGGTGCCACTGAACAACCCGGAGGAGGGTCCTGGCTTTCCATAAAAACCTGCTCAAGTCTGCTGTGTGGGCCACAATTTGGGGAGCAGAGGGCTCCATAACCCAGTGACACCAGTGTAAGAAAGTGAGTGGCAACATTCACCTCGACGTGGACAGGGGTCCTGCCTGGTCTGCATATGGCCACGCAGAGGGACAGGCACAGGTGAGTGTTGTCCCCGCCTCCAGAGCAAATGCCCAGGCCCCTGGAACGCTGTCCACAGCCTCCTTCAGAGCCCATGTGGGCCTTTTGCCGAGCCTGGCCCTGGAGGGGACTGAGTGGCCGGGTGTGGACGTGTAGGGCTCACGTGTGGGCTCTGGCGGGCAGGGCCAGCTGTGGACTCAGCAAGGGTCTTGGCAGGAGGCTGGCCTCCCGGTGGGTCTGGGCCTTGCACCTGGTAGGCGCTGGCCTGCATGGTCTATTGAGTGGCTCCTGGGCTCCTCCTGTGTCCAAGGATCCCCGGGCCTGCGGGGCCGGCCTCACCACAGCCTCTTTGCTCTCCTCTCACAACGTATCCCGAGAGCCACTTCTGCCTCCTTGCTGCTAGTGCCCCAGTCCAGGCCACTTCCCCCCACCCCCTCTCCAGTCCGCCCTGTGCACGGGGACAGTGTCCTTTCAAAACCAACCAGATTCGTCAGCGCAAGGCCAGGGCCTCTCCCCTCTCTGCCTGCTCGGGGGTTTCAGCTGAACAAACACACTTGTGCCGCAGGGCCTTTGCATGGGCTGTTCCTTCCTTCCTAGATTGTTACAGCTCTGCTCATGTGTCACTTCCTCAGAGAGGCCCCCTCCTGCGCCTGCCTCTCCCTTTGCCCCGGCTAAAATCTTCCCACCCCACTGTGCACAGCAGATCCCTGCAGGGGTAGCTGAAGACAAGGTGGTCTGGGAGGATGTGGCACCCTAGGGGTGTGACACACTCTGCCCCTCACGCACCCCCAGTCTGCCCTCCCGGGAGTCCAAACCATCCCTGACAGTAGTTGTTCACAACACTACATGTAGTGTTGTGTTGTGTGTGTTCTGCTTCCCTCTGGGCAGCCGTCCACCTAGGCCGCCCGCCTCCTTTTCAGGCTACCCCCCGGGCCCCCAGGCGGGTGCCTGTGCTGAGCACACGTGTGGACAGAACCGAGAGCGGGGCCGGCTGTGACTACGGCCCCTACTCCTTCCAGTGGGTCCCCAAATCATCTGCTTTGGGGGGGGAGTTTATTCTAAACCCTGAGCCCTCCTGGCCCCTTTCCTCTTGAGGGCTGCGGTGTCCGCCTGGCCATCAGCGATTACAGTAGCGATGGGACACCTCCGGCTACAAGGAACAGAAAGCCAGCCCTCAGACAGGCCAGGGACTTATGCTCTCAGCTCCTGGAAGGAGGAAGAGACAGAGGGGCAGCGGGCCTTCCCAGGCACCAGCCTCTCTGCAGGGGGTTCCACGTGCCACCTCAGTGGAAGCGGAGACGGAGGCTCCTGGCCCAAAATGTAGAGTGTCCTTGAACCCTGGAGACGTTTAAGGAATCCCAGAAGCGGGAGCTAATGAAGTACTCAGGAGGCCGTCAGTCGTAACCCTCAGGCTCGGCCCAGGCCTCGGGTGAGGTCACCGCCGGCTGCAGATCAGAGCGCCCCAGGGGCGGGAGCCTCAGGGGTGACACGCAGGGTCACAGTGGGCTGCCTCCCGGGGGTCTCCCCTCGGGCTTCTCTGGCCCCCACCCCACCCCAGGGACTAAAAGGCGGGAGCTGCACCCCAACTCCCATTGAGGAGGGGTCCCACCGGTGCCACTGAGGGGCAGGTAACCCTCCCCACCCCCCCCCAGCACAGTTGGGTGGGCGGACGCTGGGGGACGGGCCCCTGGGGTGGGGCTCTGCTCTGAAAGGCCGCCTGGGTGGGCGTCCGTTCCCTGCTCTTCCAGTGACCCGGCCATCCGACCGTGACCAGAGGTGTCCAGACGGGACCTGGGGTACAGAGGCAGCACCTCCAAGCTTGGGAGGCTGACAGCCGCATTTGCCCAGAGGTCTCCCGGGGCCAGCCCCTCCCCGTTTATTTTTCGCCAGAAGCTCATTCTTCACGGGGAATCAGAGCCCAGGCCAGAAGGGTTTTGTATAAACTTGGATAAGAGCAAGATAAACAACCTGGGAGCCCGCACAACAGAGGGCAGCGCGGCCAGGGGAGGGGTCCACGTGCCCGGCTTTGAGCCCAGCCCCCCGTGTCCAGTGGGGGCTGGAAGGGTGGGCTCCAGGCTGGTGTGGCCTCGTGTCCTGGGTCACATGGAACAGCCACGTCGCACCTGCCACCATCGCCAGCCCCTCTGGCAGCACCCTGGGTGCTACAAGTTATAAAATGAAGTCTTGCCTGCCTGAGGGGTGAACAGGGCAGTCGCGTTGTTTAATGCATTCGTAGGGCCCCAGGAGCCGAGGGGGCCAAGTACCTTCCTGGCGGTCTGTCAGCGTCTGAGCCTCATGACTCGTCCTGGCAGAGGGTTTGCTCATTTTCTCCAGCGCGACTTCTTTTTCTCATTGGTTTGTCTGTGTTCTTTGTATTCTGGGTATTAATCCTTTGCCTGCAAAAGTTTCCCCCAGGCTGTCACCAAGCGCGTTTCTTTGCTGGTTCAGAACTGGCAGGTCTGAGCATCCCGCCCTGCGCTCCTAAGCCGGCCACCCAGGCTTTGTTCCTGACCTCCTGGTGTGCTTTTTAAAATCCATTTCTGTGAATGTGGAAAAGACTTTCTTTTTCTTCCCCAGGTTGGGCTGGCGGTTGGTCCAGCATCTCCTGCCGGAGAGGCCTGTGATTTTCCCAGAACTTTAAACACTAAGCTGAAGCGGGTCTCAGTGTGTGTGTCCCAGACCTACCCCAGCTTCTATCCCTCCACGCTTCCTATTACTTCATCATATGTGTTGACGCCTGGTACAGTCATTTCCACCTGTATGCATTTGTTGTGCATTTTAACCAAAGTTATGCATGTCCGTGGTTTAAGGAATCCAGTGGTTCTTGGGGGTTTTCCAGGAAAAGCAGCTGTCTCAGGACCACCTTCCCGGCAGGCAGTTTCCAAGTCAGGGCTCATCCCAGCCCCTCCTGTGAACGCCTCTGCTTTCACTGCTGCATTCCTCAGCCAGGGCGTATCCCTGCAGGATGAGGAACTAGCAGCTCCCACAGCCCCTCACCTACTTCTTGGTCCCTCTATCTTTCTTCCTTTTTTTTTTTTTCCAATTTTACTGGTCTAGTTGATTTACAGTGTTGTGTTAATTTCTGCTGTACAGCGAAGTGACTCAGTTATACGTATATATATTCTTTTTCATATTCTTTTCTATTCTGGTTTATCACGGGATACTGAATACAGTTCCCTGTGCTCTACAGTAGGACCTTGTTGTTTATCCATCCTACGTATAATAGTTTGCACCTGCGAACCCCAAACTCCCCATACTTCCCTCCCCCACCCCTACCGCCTTGGCAACCACAAGTCTGTTCTCTATGTCTGTGAGTCTGTTTCTGTTTTGTAGATAAGCTCTTTTGTGTCATATTTTAGATTCCACATATAAGTGATATCATATGGTATTTGTTTTTCTGACTTACTTCACTTAGTATGATAATCTCTAGGTCCATCCATGTTGCTGCAAATGGCATTACTTCATTCTTTTGAATGGCTGAGTAATAGTCCATTTTATCTCTCTCTATATAAATACATATGTATATATGTAAAGAAGATGTGGGACATATATACAATGGAATATATACCCGCCACATCTTCTTTCTCCATTCATCTGTCGATGGACATTTAGGTTGCTTCCATGGCTTGGCTATGCACACGGGGTGCATGTATCTTTTTGAATTATAGTTTTGTCTGGGTATATGCCCAGGAATGGAACTGCTGGATCATATGGCAACTCTATTTTTAGTTTTTTGAGGAACCTCCATACTGTTCTCCACAGTGGCTATACCAATTTACATTCCCATCAACAGTGTAGGAGGGTTCCCTTTTCTCCACACCCTCTCCAGCATTTATTATTTGTAGACTTTTCTTTTTTAATAATTTATTTATTATTTATGGCTGCATTGGGTTTTCGTTGCTGTGCGTGGGCTTTCTCTAGTTGCGACGAGCGGGGGCTACTCTTCGTTGCGGTGCGCGGGCTTCTCATTGCAGTGGCTTCTCTTGTTGCAGAGCCTGGGCTCTAGGCACGCAGGCTTCCGTAGCTGTAACTTGCGGGCTCTAGAGCGCAGGCTCAGTAGTTGTGGCGGACGGGCTTAGTTGCTCCGCGGCATGTGGGACTTTCCCGGACCAGGGCTCGAACCCGTGTCCCCTGCACTGGCAGGCGGATTCTTAACCACTGCGTCACCAGGGAAGTCCCTATTTGTAGACTTTTTAATGATGGCCATTCTGACCCGTGTGAGGTGATACCTCATTGTAGTTTTGATTTGCATTTCTCTAATAATTAGCAATGTTGAGTGTCTTTTCATGTGCCTGCTGGCCATCTGTGTGTCTTCTTTGGAGAAATGTCTATCTAGGTCTTCTGCCCATTTTTCCATTGTGTTGTTTGTTTTTTTGATGTTGAGTTGTATGAGCTGTTTGTATATTTTGGAAATTAAGCCCTTATCGGTCACATCATTTGCAAATATTTTCCCCCAGTCCATAGGTTGTCTTTTTGTTTTGTTTATGGTTTCTTTTGCTGTGCAAAAGCTTATAAGCTTGATTAGGTCCCATTTGTTTATTTTTGCTTTTATTTCTATTACCTTGGGAGACTGACCTAAGAAAACATTGGTATGATTTATGTCAGAGAATGTTTTGCTTATGTTCTCTTCTAGGAGTTTTATGGTGTTCTCTCTTATATCTGTCTTTAAGTTATTTTGAGTTTATTTTTGTGTATGGTATGAGGGAGTGCTCTAACTTCACTGATTTACACGCAGCTGTCCAGCTTTCCCAGCACCACTTGCTGAAGAGACTTTCTTTTCCCCATTGTATAATCTTGCCTCTTTTGTCAAAGATTAATTGTCCATAGGCGTGTGGGCTTATTTCTGGTTGGCCTCTCTGTCTTTCTTTTTAAAATTTCCGGGTCCTTCATCTCAATGGATTGGTGGAGGGTTCTCCTCTCTGTAAAGGTTTGAAGCCATGTTCACAGTTCTAATTTTCTAGGGGGATCCTTCCGCGCACACGCCGAAGTTCGCCACAGGTGCGTCCAATCATCCAGGGTTACCTACATTCAGATGCGCTCCCCAGATAAAGACCCCCGGCATCCCTGGGCCCTGACCCCACAGCCCCTCCACTCCGCAGGGACTCCATCAGGACCACGAACGACGCTGTGGGCTGGTCTTACCCTGTCCTCTTAAAGACATACGCGAGACAGGTCGAACACACGTGCCGTCGTGCTCTTTAATCTTCGAGGCTGAGGACGACAGGCCCCACCTCCCTCTCTCATTGGTGGAGGACCGAGTCCCCGCCCACCTCGGTGATCTCATCACCATCCGCCTTGGCCGCTCGCCGCCGAGATGCCCTTCCTGCCTGGAGGTACCTTACGGCCCTGCAAATGCTTATCAGTCGCTTTAACAGATGCATCCGCCAGCCATCGTCACCTCTCCTCCGTCTTCCTGCCCCGTCTGCACGGTCCCCGCCGCCCGCCCCGGGTTAGGAGAGCGCCTCCGTTCTGCCTATGGCCTGTTGGATTCTGATGCCTCCTTACTCCGTGACTGTTGCCTTAACAGTACCCTGGTCTCTGTTTTTTGGGCACAATATCTTATCTCTCTGGGGATTGTGATTTCAAAGGGCATTTTGGTGGCGGCATCCCCAGACTGCCTGCTTTGTCCCCGTTTTTCCAGCACTTCTGTATGATTTGGTCCTTCCCTTTGGGGGCGGGGGGGGGTGCGTGGAATTCCTTGGCTGTCCTTCCACGTGGACAAGAAGGACCAGCAGCGCCTTGTGGGATCCGAGCAGCGCCTGGTGACTGGCCGGCCTCTTTCTTGGGGTCCCCGAAAGGAGGTCTTCTTCCCCTGAGAAGCTTGCTTGGGTCTCCTGCGTGGGTGGGGTGGAGTGCCCGTCTGGCCGGTGGCATCCCGGAGCAGAGTGCGGGAAAATGGGCCCGACCACAGGTCGGAAGGCGGCACCTCCTTTACCCCTCCCCCAGCCCTCGCCGTCCCCCACTTTCCCAAGGTTGGGGCCTCGCGGACCCAGTTTCTCTGGTAAGGAGGGTCTGAGCTCATTTTGTCCCGGGGCCTGGCGGTGGGAGGTAGGGAAGGTCAGACCCCTCACAGCCACCTGTGCCCCACTGCTCATCACTGACCCCTTCTGCAGGGACTGGGTTTTTCACTGTCACAATATTCACATCTGGGGGGTGGGGGGATGGGTGCACTCCTGTCCCTGGACAACTGGCCAGGCCACCTGACCTGCCTCGGCCAGTGGTTCGTGAGCAGTCATGAGGGCCACAGCCAAGCAAAAGCTTAAAGGTCAGGGTGTGTCTCTGCCTCCTTGCTTTTCCCTTTGCTGCAGGATGGCCAGAGAGGGCTGACTTCCCACCGGGCACCTGGAGGAGGACAGCATGTAAGTGGAGCCTTGGGGAACCTGGCAGGGGGGACACGGTGCCTGTGTGAGAAAGGAACCTCAGCTGCCGACAGCCACCGTGGTTGCCGGGCTGTTTGTACCAAGCGCGGCCGGGCCGGGCTGACAGCTGCCCTCACTGAGGTGGGTACCAGCCTCACCTTCCCATTAGAATCTCTCACCCACTGCTGTCTCCTCTCCAGTTTCCTTTGCTCCTGTGGGTTCTCCTCTGGTTAAAAGCCCTCCGTGGTCATTCCGGAGGGGCTTGCCGAGGGGGACGTGGCTGCAGTGACCCTGTGCCTGTTTCCCAGCCAACACTCGTGCAGACTTTACGGGCGCCCCTGACGCCCCTGAGCCCATGCCTCTTGGGTTCTCTCGCCCCTGTTCTCTTTCAGAGCAGCTTGTGGGAGCAAACTCCCTGAGTGCCCGTGTGTTTGAAAATGCCTTTAATTCCATTGTTGTGCTTGAAAGACTGTGGCTTGGAGTAGAATTTGAAGCGTCCCTTCACTGTCTTCATTCTCCAGGTGTACCTGTCCCCCTGATTTTTGTTCCTTTTCCCCCTCGTATCCTCCCCCACCCCTCCGTCCCTTCCTTCTCTCCATCCTTAATTTCCTGTGGCTGCTGCCACAAACCTGGTGACTGAGAACAGCAGACACCTGTTGTCTCCCAGTTCTGGAGGCTGGAAGTCAGAAGATCCAGGAGTGGCAGGGCTGTGTCCCCTGCAGTCTCCGGGCGAGGGTCTGTCCCAGGCTCTCCCCCTCTGCTGCCAGCCGCTCGGCCTGGAGCTGCGTCACTGCCCTGTCTGCCCATCTCGTCATGTGGCCCCTCCGTGTCTCCCTCTTCTTTTTTTTTTTTTTTTTGGCTGCACCACACAACCTGCGGGATCTTTGTTCCCTGACCAGGGATCGAACCCGTGCCCCCTGCAGTGGAAGCGCAGAGTCTTAACCACTGGACCACCAAGGAAGTCTCTCCGTCTTCTTATGAGGACATGAGTCACTGGACTTAGGATGTCAGTGTGACCTCATCCTCACTTGATCACATCTGCAAAGTCTCCATTTCCAAATAAAGTCACATTCACATGTATCGGGGGTTAGGCCTGAAACATATTTGGTGGGGGGACACCATCAAACCCACAGCACCCCCTCCATTTTGAAGGTTTGTCTTTATCTTTAGAGTTCTGACATTTTACTATTATGTGTCAGGTCAAGATTTTCTAACCTGAAAACCACATTCCTCTTCAGTTTCGGGGAAACTTTCCCCAGCGTGTGTGTGTGTGTGTGTGTGTGTGTGTGCGCGCGCGCGCGGAGTGCCTTCCCTCCCCCTCCCTCCCCTCTGGTCTCCTCCTGGAACTCCTGCTAGAGGGACAGTAGGCCTGGGGCATCTCTCCTCCACGTCTCGTGACTGTGTTTTTCTGGGCTCTACATTCTCGAGGGATTCCTCGGCTCAGCACATGAATCTATTTACTGCAGGGACACGATTCCTTCCGCAGACGCTGCCCTCTCTGGCCTCCCTGCATCCCAGAGTCTTCTCCGGCTGCTCCGTCAACTGTGTTTCCCAGGCTTGGGGGTGGGGATGGGGTTCTTTCTTCAATCGAGCTGCTGTTTCCCGCCCGTCCTGGCCTGCTTCCAGTGCCCGGTGTGCTGGCTGAGTAACAAGCCCAGAGACGTTCCCGTCCAGATCCCTGAGATACGCTATTTCACATGGCCGCTGGGGCTGTGGGATTAAACTCAGGGTCTTGAGAAGCGAGAGCTCTCTGGATGGTCCAGGTAGGCCCAGGGCCATCGCACCGGTCCTATAACAGGGAGGTGGGAGGGTTGGCCCGTAGGGGAGACGGATGTGTCACAGGGTCCAAGAGAAGCTGGGTCGGAGACAGGCTGCGTTGCTGGCTTTGCAAGTGGAGGAGGGGCCACGAGGCAAGGGATGCTGGCGGCTTCTAGGAGCAGATTCTCCCCCGAGGCTGCAGAAGGAATGTCTCTGCTGACAGTTTTAAGCCCCCAGGCCTCCTTTGGACTTCTGCCCTCCAGGCTGTTGGATGAGGGCGTGTTGTCTTGGTCTCGCTCAGTTTGCAGTGATTTGCAGCCCAAGGACATGGGCTTAGGGACCTGCTCTGCTGCCCCTCTGCCCCTGTAACCTAGTCATAAAACTAATACGTGTTCATCTGATAAATTCTGGGAAGTACAGAAAAAGTGTTAAAATTTTGCATGGAAGATTCATACTCTGGCTCACGAGCAACCATTGTAATGGTTGGATGCACTTCTCGCCATCCACAGGAGAGATGGGGGAGGGGACTCAGGGATGGAGGGAGCTGGGCGGGAATATGAGCCATTTCTGTTTCTCCCACTTGTGTCTTAGGTTCCGAGCGCTCGAGCGTCAGGACTTTCTAAGCAGCATTTTGGTGTCTGTACCACCTTCCACTCGATGGGCGTTTCATTCCGTTATTTATGTCACCGGGTTTTGAAGTTTGCATTTTTTCACTATTGGCCTAAATCGTGTATCTCTGATCATTTTCCTGGCCTCAGTGCCCGGGAGCGGAGTTGCGAGGCCAGTGGGAAGGGGAGTTTTAAAAGCTTCGCATCTGGAGCGAGTTGTGGAGACAGTGTTGTCCCCCGGGGCCCAGCGCCAGGACCCGAGCCAGAAAAGGGCTGAGGAGGTGGCGCTTCGTCGGTGGGCACGGGGCACAGTGGGCATTTGGGCTGGAGCCCGATGCCACCCATCTCTGCCCAGAGAGATGGCGCAGGCAGCGTCTGGGGGGCTGGAGGCACCTGGAGGCGCCTGGCTTCACCAAGTGTCTCCCAAACACCTCTCAGTGCTGGAACGCAGGGATTGGCCCGTGAGGCTAGAGAAGGTGGCCCAGGCCCCGGGGGGACACCTGTGTGGACGGCCTCGGGGGTGTGGCTGTCAGGGCTGCTTGCCCCTTGGCTACCCTGGGCCCCAAGTCCCGGCGGGCCTGCAAGTGGCCTGCTCACTGGGGTGCGTGGGAGAGACCTCAGCCGCACACTCGGCAATTACCGCGTGCCCCCGATGGACGTGTCAGACGTGGCGCCCACGCTGGGCAGAGAGGAGCCTGGCTCGGGCCCATCCCAGCGGCCATCTCCAGGGCTGTCACACCGTGCCCCACCCGCCCCCGGCCGTCCCCCATCTTGTGGCTCAGGGTTCATGGAGGGCCGCTTTGGGCCCTGGAGAAGGGTGGTGGGCACCCAGCACAGGCTGGCTGACCCTTGGCCAAGGTGGACACTCCCCCGGTTGCACGGCTCCTGGGAGAGGCCAGCGGAGGCTGGTGGGGGAGGGAAGGCCTGCCCTGGGGGCCACCCCCGTCTCAGAGCTGGGACCCGAGGCTGCTGTGAGCGCCGAGGCCCTGAGGACGGGCAGCAGGTGGCAGCAGCTGGCAGTGGGCACAGGGCACAGCCCTGAGCTGCTAGAGCCTCCGGAGCAGCCCTGGGCTGTGAGGCCAGACCCAGTTCAAGCTCCGGAGAGAGAACGTGGGGCTGGGGCCCCTCAGGGGCGGGCATCCACTGATGCCTGGGGGAGGGGGCCCCGGAGGTAGGCAGGGGGCAACTCTGATGCCCCCACCTCCCCCGGGGTTGAGGGAGGGCAGGGCCCTGGGGTTCCTGTCACTGTTTGGGGCGGGAGCAACCAGCCACATCCCTCACTTTTGAAGTTTCCACAGTTGGGAGGATTCAGTGAATGGGGTGGGGAGGGGGAGGAGGGCCCCACCCCCGCTCCTCGCTGCCCAGCTCCAGGGGCAGCACGGGATGCAGGGCCCACACCCCTTTGCAGAGCTGGCGACCCCAGGGCACCCCGCCTGCCCCCAACCCTGGCCTTGAGCCAGCAGCCGGCTTCACACCCCCTTCACCGAGGCCCTAAATCGTAGGTGGTTTTCCTCTCATCTGTGATAAACGATTAACCACAGGTGTGGACCTGCCAGCCAGGTGCCAGCAGGAGGGGTTGGGGGCAGAAGCCGTGACCCCTGCGGTGCCCAGAGGCTGTCGACTGAGGGATGTGACAGGGCTCATCTGCCCAGGGGCCGCCGGGAGCCCCCCAACCTGTAGCCCACGTGGGACAGAAAGCACCCAGGTCCTCGGCCACCCCAGGCGACGGGGACAGGCAGCGAAAGGGCTGGACGATTACTGGGCCCTTTTCCTGCTCTTGGGACATTTATTTTTCCCGACAGGAGTTCTTTTTCTTCCGTCTTCCCCCCCTTCCTGAGGCCTGGAGGCCTCCTTTATGCACAAATATGTTATTTTGAAGCACTCTGCATTGTTCTGAGATTTCAAAGTCACGGCCAGAAGCCAGAGACAACATATTTTTCTGGCTATAACAGTAACAGTAAATCCTGGTCACTAAAGTATGCTTGGAAAATAAGAAAGCACGCGGAGAGAAAAAATTTGACTCTGTGTTGCTGTGTAGAGAGCAGGACTGAGTACTTCGGTCTCTTTCTCTTCAGTTTAAAGTAACATACACACTTGTCCAAAACTAGCGCATGGCTCTGAAACCTGGTCTTGCATTTAATGCTCTATCCTGTGTGCCCCGGCGTCCCTTCACATTCCTGGTGGCCGTGGGGCATACCGTCCATAACCAGAGGCTCCTACCCGCCCCTCCAGCAGCCTGTCCTCACCCACAAGGCATGCCTGCCTGGGAGACCCCTACCCTTCGCAGACACTCCCCCCGGCTTTGGGAGTGGGGGGCTGCATTGCACGTGGCAAGTCCGAGGTCTGCCTGGGGTTTGGACTTGAACCTGACGGAGGGACGGGGTACTTCAGCTCAGAAGAGAAAGCCGGTGCCCTCTGACCTTCCCAGTCCCAGGGACCCCCAGGGTGCATGTGGTTTAGGGACCGTTCGCACTCAGCTGGGGGTCCACTCACGGTCCCCATTGGACAGAGGGGAAGCTGAGGCTCAGAGAGGGCGCATGTGGACAGCAGGGGTCAAAGTCTGCGGGTCAGGCAGAGAGACCCCAGGGGCTCGAGGCGCCAGCAGGGTGCTGGCTGGCGGGGGGGGGCCCGGCAGGTCCTCTGCCCTGAAGTGCTCACCGCCTGGGTTCCGCGCCGCACCGAGCCCAGGGGCCGCTTGACCCCATCCTCCCTGTTCCCCAGGACACCCCGAGATGGGACAGCCCTGGGAGCCCCGTGACACCTGCCATGTCTTTGGAAGAGGGGCCGTTACGCCCAAGGAGAGGCGGCCAGGCAGGCCCCACCTACCACCCACCCAGCACGGCCTCAGCACCCTTGCCACCCACTCTCCACGAGGGCACCGCCGCCAGCTTCAGCCCACGGGGCCTGGCGATTTCCCTCAGCGACCCACTCCCAGGGGCAGGCAGCTCCAGCCCCACCTACGCCTGCCACCCACCGTACCTGCGCGGAATGTGCTCCTCCGACACCCCTGACGTGAGTCAGTTCGACACCAGTGTGGCTGCAAGAGGGCGCACCGTGGAGCAGAGGCCTGGGTGCCTCACCCCAGCGCCAGGCCCCGGACCCGGGGTCCCGGCACAGTCTGACACCAGCACCAGGGCCACCTTGCGACTGGGATCCTCAGGCCGTGGGGAGCTCGGTCAGGCCAGGAAAGGGTGGCAGGGACAGAAAGCACTGTTCCTCACTGGGACCCTGATGAGCATGGCCTCGAGTGGAAGCCTGGGTGGTACCCTTCTGTGCAGTTCAGGAAGGCCCACCGGCGACCTTCCCCGCCCGCCCGTGCACCTGCCCCCGCACTGAGCCGGCTCCGCCCTGTGCAGCCACCCTGAGCCCTGCCTGGCCTGCCGCCCGTGTCCTCCGACCCCAGCACCTGGGCCAGGCAGGGCCAGCCGCCAACACTCCAGCTGCCCGTGTCCTTCTGTTGCAGGAAGGGGGACCCCTTCCAGGGCCGGGGACGGCTCTTGTCTAACGCTCGGAAATGAAATATCCGAGGAGACAGACGTGCTGACACAGCAAGAGACTCTATTGGGCAGGGGCGCCCGGGGGGAGAGCAGCAGGGTGAGGGGACCCAGGAGGACTGCTCTCCACGTGGCTCGTGGTCTCAGGTTTTACGGTGATGGGGTTAGTTTCCAGGTTGCCTCTGGTCGGTCATCTTGCTTGGCCCATAGTCTGACTCAGGGTCCTTCCTGGTGGCGCGCGCATCTCTCACTCAGGATGGACTCCAGTGAGAAGGACTCTGGGAGGTCGGGTGTCTCCCTCTTCCAGCCCCTCCCGAATCCTCCCGGGGAGTTTTGGCGGTAGCGGCAGCACCGTGTCCCTTATGGGGACCTCCTGTTGTGAGAGAACTCAGGCAAGCGGCCTGGTCAGCGGTTCCCTACCGCTGCCTCATCGGGCGTGCAGCCTCTAGGTGGCAGCCCTGCCGAGCCCTTGGAAGGCAGAGGGGAGACTTCCTGGCTCACAGCATCTTCCCTGCGGTGGGGTTTCCCTCAGGCTCAGCCCCTCCCTGCAGGAGGCTCAGCTGCGCCTCCCCCCTCCAAACCTGCTGCCCACCGTTCGCTGGATCTACTTTCCTTTTCCTTTGCTTTTGTGTTTCTAGCATATTCCTCTAGAACATTATGGACCGAGTGGTGTCCCCCCCAGATTCATATGTTGAACCCCAATGTGGTGGTGTTAGGAGATGGGCCTTTGGAGGGTAATTCGGGTTAGATGAGGTCCCCAAGATGGCATTATCACCCTTCCAAGAGACACCAGAGGGCTCCAGCTCTCTGTCTGTCTGTCTGTCCGTCACGTGAGGACATGGCAAAAAGGTAGCCGCCCGCCTGTAAGCCGAGAAGAGGGTTCTCCCAGGAAACAACCCTGCTGGCCTTGGCCTTGACTCGGACCCCCAGCCTCCAGATGTGAGAAATAGATGTCTGTCCTCTAAGCCTCCGGGGCTGTGGGTCTCTCCTGGCAGTCGGAGCGGACTGGTGTGAGTCTGGTGCCCAGATGTCGTCTTGACTCCTTGTTTCTGCCTCTGCCACACGCTTCCGTCACCCAAGCGAGCTGTGCGCCCCCTTCCAGGCGGCTGAACTCCTACCGCCCAGGAGGGGCCAGCTGGGCTCTGAGCTGTAGGTCTGCCCCCTCCCGCGGTGCAATCACCACCACCACCACCACCACCACCACCCCCCCCGCGCCCGTGCCTGGGGTGACATCGCTGACGTGCAGCACAGCCCTGGAGGGCTGCCGTGTGCTGATGCGCTCAGGCACAGACGGAAAAGAAAAGTGGAGCAAAATGGTTAGGAAGAGCTGCGTTTCTAACATAACTCATTCTAAGTATTTATAATTAATTTTTTGCTAATGACGGTAACACCCCGCTCACAAAATTCCTGAAAATTTAAGGGCAGGCTCTTGGGAGCCGCTTGGTGTTTCTGTTTCCGGCGGATGCTGAATCCCCAGCCCCCCTCCATCACCATCGCCCAAGCTCTAGCCCTGGGAGTCTTCCAGCACCTTCCCAGCCTCCCTTGGCGCAGTGGCTCCCAGTGTCGCGGGGTGGAGGTGGGGGGTCCCAGCTGGGGGCACAGGTATCCACAGGGCCCTCTGGCCCCAGCGGCCTCGCCCTGTTGTGCCCCGGCAGCTTTCCTGGGTGAAAACAAGCACAGGCTGCTCTCCTGCTCTTCCGGTGTCCCGGGGGCGGCCTGGCTCTGGGCTCTCCTGCAGCTGTTCCTGGGCCAGGCTTCTCCGAGCCAGTTTCCCAGCACTGATGACTTGGCTTCGGGATCAGTGTTCCCACTGTGGCCACCTCCCGAGCAGAGGGAGGGAGGTGGGGAAGCTCGGCCTTTCCTGCCCCGAGGTGGTGGCCCTCCAGGGGGGAAGAGCACGGGGCTGGGATATGGAAAGTCCAGGCTGACACAGTTGACCGGCCAGAGGTGACTTGAGACCACTCTCTGGGGGGAGGGCATGGTGACCCAGGGTCCAGCCAGGGCTGCACCCAGGCCACAGCAGCACCTGGTGGTGGGAGAGCTGCCGGCTCTCCCGGGTCCCTGCCTGGGGTCCCCTGTCCGGGAGACACCGACTCAGGCCCCTCGGGCTCCCGATGCCTCCCCCTGGGCCCTGCATCTCAGCTTCCCCTGCAGACCCCAGCAGGGAGTGCCCACCGGTTCCTCCCAGCCCCACCCAGGCAGCAAACCCAAGGGTGCAGGAGCCCCGACCTCATACCCCTGTGCACTGTTGGGGGTTTCAGCCTTGTCTCTGCGGCGTGGCTCTCCTTCCCTGGGGCCCTGCCCCACCCTGCCCAGGCTGGGCTGCCGGGGCACTGCCTGCTTCCAGGCCCAACACAGACATCCCAGGACTGAGACCCAGGCCACCGCTTTCAGATTCCAATCCATTTCTGGACTACAGAAATTCCTATCATATCTTCGAGTCCAGCCGTTTCTCCTCCCTCTGTATCTGTCTCTCTCTGTCTTGCCGCCTCTGTCTCTCTCCCCCAGGTGTTCAGAAATACTCCAGCGGGGGCCGCATCCTGGACCAACTGCCTGAGGACTGAAGATGCTCCAGGAGGCCCTGCCATGAACACGGGGGCTGCTGTCAGGGGAGCAGCATCAGGACAGCGAGGTGTGGGGTGGCTGCAAGGAGGGCGCGAGGGCCCTGGACTGACCGAGGGGGCAGCCCCCAGTGGGCCGGCCCCTCCCCAGTTCCCAGGCCTGCATCGCTGTGTGGATCTGCTTCCTGGGCAGAAGAGGAGGCTGGACAAAGGGGAGGAGCGCGGCCCCAGGATCAGGCCTGGCCTTCCCAGGCCGTGGGGCCCTGATCCCTGAGTCCCAGCTGGGGTTCCCTCGAGGGACAGAACCCTGTGAGCACCCCCTTCCCAGAGCATGGGGTGGTCACACCCCTGAGGTCTGGCACTGGACAAGGGCCCGTCGTGAGGCTGGTTATCCCACAGCCAAGTGCACAGGCCCAGGGAGGCCGCTGGTCTGTCCCTGAAGGTGTGGTTTTTCCCACCTGAGGTCTGCACTCGGGAGGGGCAGGGGCTGGTTCTGTTGGGCGGGTCATCTCAGGTCCTGGGCCCCCGGCCTCCCTGGCTTTGAGGCAGCCTCGCTCCCTCTGTCTCCAAACCTTCCCCTTCTCTCAGTTTCTCAGGGCCCCTCATGAGGAGGTTCCTGGGGGGCTGCACCCTCCCCCAGCCCCACTTCTGCACAGCCTCAGGGCAGTGCCACTCAGCTGTGGGCGGGGCTCGCCTGGGTGGTGAGAATGGGCTGGGCACCCGCTGGGGTGTCCTCAGCCCCCCGGGCCCCAGGACTTTCCAAGGGGACATGCTCTGTCCTCCCCCTTTGGGGTGTGTGTGGTGTCTGATAAAGGCGACCTGCACCTCCTCACAAGAAGCCATGGGGCCTGGAGTCCACCTGTGAAGTCCCAGGAGGAGACAGGAGCAGGTGAGATGGGGGGGCGATCAGCAAAGTGCAGCCTGGGCCCCTCCACAGAACAAGTGGCCAGATTTCTTCAGCACCTAAATGGCGAAGGGAAAAAGAGACAAGACGGATCATAATGTGTGGGCCTTACTGGATCTTGATTTGAACAAACTGTGTGTAGTCACACATCTGAAACCACATATATACACATGCACATATATATGAAATTTGAACACTGGCTCTACATTTGATATTTAGGAATTATTGTCAATGTAAAAAAAATTATTTGTAAAAAAAAATACAGTAACATGGCCTTTTTTTTTTTTTTTTTTTTTTGCGGTATGCGGGCCTCTCACTGTTGTGGCCTCTCCCGTTGCGGAGCACAGGCTCCGGACGCACAGGCTCAGTGGCCATGGCTCACGGGCCTAGCCGCTCCGTGGCATGTGGGATCTTCCCGGACCGGGGCACGAACCCGTGTCCCCTGCATCGGCAGGCAGACTCTCAACCACTGCGCCACCAGGGAAGCCCAACATGGCCTTTTTTAGTGTATAGTTCTATGAGTTTTACTGCCTGTATGGATTTGCGTAATCTCCAACACAGTCCCATGGCCCGGAAGCCCCCTCCCGCTGCTCCACTGTAGGCGAGGCTGCACCCCAGGCCCTGGAAGCCACCGCTCGGTTCTCCTTCCCTGGTGTTGCGTCCTTGTGCCCATGTCACTTAAACGGAGCCCTGTACCACGTACGCAGCCTTTGGCGACTGGCTTCCTTCTCTCACATGATACATTTATGGCCCCTCAAGTTGCAGAAGTATCAGTGCTTTGTTCCTTTTTATTGCTCAGTGGTGCTCCGTGGTGGGGATGGACCACGGTCTACGCACTCACCCCGTTGAAAGCCATCTGGGTTGTTCCCAGTTTGGGGCGATTATGAATAGACACGCTGTAGACATTTATGTACAGGTTTTGGGGGGTTTTTTTAATTTAATTTTTAACATCTTTATTGGGGTATAACTGCTTTACAATGGTGTGTTAGTTTCTGCTTTATAACAAAGTGAATCAGTTATACATATACATATGTTCCCATATCTCTTCCCTCTTGAGTCTCCCTCCCACCCTCCCTATCCCACCCCTCCAGGCGGTCACAAAGCACTGAGCTGATCTCCCTGTGCTATGCGGCTGCTTCCCACTAGCCATCTATTTTACGTTTGGTAGTGTATATATGTCCATGCCTCTCTCTCACTTTGTCACAGCTTACCCGTCCCCCTCCCCATATCCTCAAGTCCATTCTCTAGTAGGTCTGTGTCTTTATTCCCATCCTGCTCCTAGGTTCTTCATAACCTTTTTTTTTTTTTGCCTTTGATTCCATATATATGTGTTAGCATATGGTATTTGTTTTTCTCTTTCTGACTTACTTCACTCTG